CTCGGCCCAAAAGTGCTAACGACCCGAGATGTTGGCTGTTGCTGGTTATCTTTCGACGCGTCCAACTGATACGAGGAGATGGAGCAGAAGGGATCGTTTGGACCTAAAAAGAGACTGCTGGTTGGTGGTAGTGGGTCGATGGGGCAGCGCGACGCCCGAAAAAGCAGCAGCAGTCGCTGCTTGACGGAGGCTGGACACGGTGGAGGAAGCTGACGGACTGGCGTCGCTGGATGGGTCGTTTGGGCAGTGACGATGCAGCAGGAGCTGGGCGTCGTTTGTGGTGGTGTTCGGACGCTTGGTGGTGGCGTTTTGGATGTGAGGGAGTAGGGGGCAGTGACGACGATGGAGGGAGTCCGGGCTGGTGGTTTTTGGTGAGTTGTTGGGGGGTGCGAGGGTGGTTTTTGGACAGTAGGGTTTTCGTTGGTTTCTTCTTTTGAAGAAGATGGTGAACGGTGCACCAAATTTTTCAGGTCTGTCCGTTCCAACCCCCTTTTCCCTTGCCTTGTCCGTGCATTTGTAGCCAATGCCAAGAAAATGGACACCACGTGTGTAGGGGTCCAAGATTTGTGTCCCCTATGCGCGGTGGGGTTCCCCATGTACGGTGTTCCGTCCGTGTTCCCCACGCATGCCCCCCATGTGTGGTGGACTCGGATTATTATGGGCTAGGTCCGAAACTTAGGCCTAAAAACGGGTAGTTTGAACCCGAATATTATTTTTTTGCCTGGACCCGAGAAATAGGAACACGACATTGCTCAACTGATTATGTAAGCAAAATAGCTACTAAAATAAGACTAATTATTTAAAACAAAACTATATTATTATTTTTTAATATTTTTCCGAGATTAAAATAGCTACAAAACATTAATAAAACTATTTTTGTAATTTTCATTTTTTTTAATATAAAGATAAAATATAAAGTAATATTTTTTGTATTTTTCAAAATTAAAATGACTATAAAACATTAATAGTTTCGAAATTATATAAAGTACAAAAATAAAGTACAATTTTTGTATTTTTTCAAGTTTATGAGAAATACATAAACTAAAAATTTATATATATATTTTTGTAATTTTTTTCTTTTGCGACGAAATAAAGTAAAAATAGTTAAAATGGCTATATTAGACCCAATTTCACATATTCACGCTAAAAATGTGAAAATTCTCGGGGAGGGTCAAAAATCACGTGTCTACAGGAGTCAGCAGGATGACCTCTCAAAAACTGTAAAGCCTTTTCCTTTGCTCTCCAAGATTGCATGTAGGTTAGATTCACGTCGTGTTCAGACAACATGCTGAATTGTATGTCTTTTGGTGTGTAAATTGTCTTAAGATTAGAATATTTTAGAATAACCATGCTACCAATTACCATGACAGTAGGTTTGAGTTTTATGAATGTATTGTCCATTAAAGAGCATATGTGTTGGCTGTTGAAATTTCTGACCATGAACATTGCAGAATCATTTATGCTATTGGCTTGAAGTACCATGTACAGTTTTCACCAATACATATCAGCCAGTAGCTACAAAATAAATACAATTTAAACACTGGTTTAAAATGTAGATTTAAAAAGAAAAAAAACTGTTTTAGCTTAAACGATCACATTATAAAATCTATATACAACATAACTACAATTCATCTACAATTCTCTCACAAGAAAAAACTAAAGAAGTAAAAAATTACAAATAAACTACAAAATTAAAAAAATAATGATCTTTGACCATTCATATGTTCATACCTTCTAGCACTAGATCTTTTAACCAAGAATTGGAACTTGTGCATGACAGAATAGTGCTTCATTGCAATTGCAATTGTTTTCTTGTCTTGGTATACTTGTCCTACTTTAGCAGAACTTGGTGTACTATCTGTTATTATTATACTTTCATATTCCTCTATAACGGGAGATGTTGGCATATCAAGTAACTTCAGTGTTCCAGACGAACCTGCATGAAAATAAATATAAATACTGTTATGAACATTTTGTATAAATTTTGTAGAAAGGTTGAAATTCTGTATTTCATATTAATTTGTCAAATGATATGTAGTTTTATTGTAGAATAAATGTAGAAATTTTGTAGATATTATGAAAATCCATACTGATATATATTTACTCTGACATGCAGTTTATTTGTAGATAAAATGTAGATAAAGTATAGTACATTGACATACAACCAGAATTTTATAGAAAAATTAACATCACACACCTGCAGCTGTGTTCTCATTGGTGATACTCAATTCCATATTGAAATCGCAAATAGTTATACATAGCGGATATGATCCTAAGTTTTTATTTTTCTTTTTCATCTCCATGTATACACGAACACCCATGTCGTTCCTAATTTTCATTGGAGGACAATGCTCGTTGACAATGTATTTGATTTCTATAATTTTTCGGATGTATCGATCATTAATTGCTGTGCTATTATAGAAATCAATAGACTATAACTTGCATCCTCATTGACTACAATTCCATCGACTTGAAATTCTCTAAATCTCTTATAGCTATCCCAATTCCCATTAGCATAATTCGGGATTTTGTACATAATTGGTTTGTTGCAGAATAATTGTAGAAGATTTAGACGTTTTTGATTTGTGAAATCAGAAAAAGGTTGAAGCAGAGTGTATCGCAAAAATAGAGTATGGAAAATTTGAAACAAGCCGACGATAATTATGAATGTGCGTGATTTGCGTTGTGGAAGATCTGGAAGAATATTTAATTTTTCAATTTTAGTGCGCCTAAATAAGGAATCCTACAGCTACAATAATTCCTTATTTAATGCATTATCTATATTTTGTAGAAATACTATTAGCATGAATGGTAATATGCAAACTATGAACATATTTATATAGGAACGAAAAAATTCCCAAAAGTAAATGACCTTTGGGCTCTGCAGGCCAGCCCAATAAAGGACAAATAATTGGGCCTGGAGACCCATTTACCATCCGGCCCAATAGTTAAAATCCCAACTTGGATTAATAATTAATTTCCTCTGGTACTTCGCTCAGAAAGGAAAGGCAAAAAACTCCGTCCACGCAGGATCGCCGGAGCCTCGTCGGAAAAGAAGAAAAGCATGGGTGTGGACTACTACAAAGTACTTCAGGTGGACCGCAACGCCAAAGAAGACGACCTCAAAAAAGCGTATCGCAAGCTCGCCATGAAATGGCACCCTGATAAGAACCCTAACAACAAAAAAGATGCTGAAGCCAAATTCAAACAAATCTCTGAAGCCTACGATGTATGTAATTACATTGCACTTCCCCCAATTTTCCCAATTATTTACTAAATTTTCTGTTAATTCTGGAAAAAATAATTTTTGTACCAATTATTCCAATTTTCATGTATTCGACAAGTATTTCCTAAATTTGTAGTTACTTTTTGAAAAAAAGAAGATATAGATCTCTGAATTTTCTTGGGGTCCATTTATTTTTATTTTCTAAGTTTGTAGTTAATTTTGAAAAAAGAAAATTCTGTAGCCTACAATGTATTTGCATGCCCAATAACCCCAATTAATGAGTTCGATTTTAGCTTTCCAAATTATTTTCCTAAATTTTGTATTCAGATGAATTTTGATGTTGAATGCAGGTGTTGAGTGATCCACAGAAGAGGGCAGTGTATGATCAATACGGAGAAGAGGGGTTAAAAGGGCAGGTGCCACCACCAGGTGCCGGTGGATACCCAGGCACATCAGATGGTGGGGCGGGTCACGGGTCGTTCCGGTTTAACCCACGTAGTGCTGATGATATATTCAGTGAATTTTTCGGGTTTTCGAGCCCGTTTGGTGGTGGAATGGGAGATATGGGTGGTGGAAGGGCAGGTGGTTCAAGTTTTCCTAGGGGTATGTTTGGTGAAGATATTTTCACTTCTTTCAGGAATGCTGCCGGTGAAGGTGCATCAAGTAATGTTCCACGAAAGGCTGCTCCGATTGAGCGGACGCTGCCTTGTAGTTTGGAGGATTTGTATAAAGGAACCACCAAGAAGATGAAGATATCCAGAGAAGTTACTGATGCTACTGGGTGAGTTTTTAAGATTATATCTGCCCTCAGTGATAAAAAAGATCTCTACTTTTTTTCCTTTTTCTTGAATAAATTGTTTTAGGTTGGTGTAGCGGAGACAAAAATAGTATAAGTGATTTCTTATCATCCACTGCCTAAGCCTTGGTGGGTAGAGTTATCTGGTATGTGTGCTAGTGGGATGTAGCAGGCTATGTTGCTTAGATATAGGGTGGGTTCTAGAGGTCGATCCTTGATAATCTAAATTTTAAGATTCGGGGATACAGATCCAGGTACGACTACGGATGTGGGGATTCAGCTAAAAATTCAAAAATCTGGAAATAGATCTATAAAAATATCCTAAATTATGAGAAATATTATGTGGAAAAACTCATAGGTTGTGGAGTGCAACCAATAATTCAATCTTTCATTTTGAGAATTTCTCCCTCTCTATCTTCACAAAGTAGGGGTGAGGTCTGCGGACACACTATCCTCCCCAGATCCCACTGGGTTACAGTGGGTTTGTTGTTGTTTGTATTTTGAGAATTTCTCAAGTTGTAGGCACTATACGCACTAGCATGCAACAGCTAAACTTCAATCTTTCATTTTCCCTCAAATTTGTCCATGGATTGTGGTCAACGTACCTGATCCCAATTGACCACACCCGGTACGATTCCCACATGCTTACCAGTACCATTGTCGATACGACACGGGTTCGGCGGCTAAAGAAGAGTCCGCGCAATGGTACCCGTCGGAATAGTCAACGTGTGTGCAACCTGGGCCGTACACTACCATCCTCAAGTTTTAGATTGGTGTTGCCGGGAGTCGAGCTAGTAGTTTGTGCAAGGGTAAGAGCGAGATCTAGAGATCATCTATATGACAAATTTTTCAGTGCTGGTATAAAATTAACTTGACTAGAGTGGTAATGAATATAAAGAATTGGGGCATATCTTTTAGAGGTCGTCACAATCGAGGGTGTATCTTCTGGAGATGGCATGTTGGCGGTGGTTGTTGATTCATTCATGCACAAAGTTAACTTAAAAAGAGAGATTTTTTGTGGTATGATCCTATCTAATCTGATTGAGGTCTAGCTGATTGATTCATACAAAATGTTAAATTTCCATGGAGTGACAATTATTGAGTATTTATCATTTTTTGTTTTTACAATGGCATGATCTGAGTGGAAGCTACTCAATGAGTTGGATGAATTGAGTGCCTTCGTAAATTATGTTATGTTTTTCTCTAAAACAAGAAAAAGCTGCTATTTCAAGGCTTGAATTAGTTGAAGCTGCAACAGTCTGTCCTTCTGCTTCTACAAATTCATCATAAACTCATTTTCCTCCTTCATTTTCTGCATTATGGATATTGACAAAGTAATGGCAAGTTCTAATGTTGACATATGCACCAATTCGTTTCTTTAGGCCTGACAATTAGCTATAAAACTAGCATAAAGGATATAATAAACTGACTATGATCTAAGAAAAAAGATACCCCTTTTTGTTTTCTGAACAGGTAAAATGGTGTATTATAGTACAAAATTAGAAACCTGGCACAAAGCTAGTGCCTGGATAATTACAAAGTTTGAAACCCTTCTGTACAAAAATGAAAAGAGACACTATTCTTTTTAGTGTTCGCATTTCTTGTTAGAATGGTCTATGGTATCATGTGTTAGTACCATTGGTGGTGTTGAGTAACTGACCTCACTGTTTGCACCAGAAGGAGGATAAATGATCACTGTCTCAATGAGGATATGCTGATTAACCAGCCGAAGAGTGTGCAAGAAGCGCTGATATAAAGCATCATTTTAGGGAAGGACCCTTATGATTTGACTATATATGCGTCCCACTTAATTAGTTATTGCTAGCATCGAGTAGAATTTACTATTGAAAATAGTTGATGCCTGTGTGATTTCTGAGATTGCATTTTACCTAGAAAGGTTATGCCGCATGTGCCCAGGGGTTAAAAAGTTGGTTGCTGATACTATTTGTCTTCTCCATTTGCTTTTGCCCCATTCCTCGCTTATGTTTGGCACTTTGGTATGATTGTATTCTAAGATGTAGGAGCTTTACCTCTACCTTTTTTTTTTTGTGGGTAAGCAATTAAGAGCTTTGCATCTTCCTTTGAACCCAATTTAGTGAAGATTGAAAAGCTGGTTATGACTTTGGGCAGGTAGAGATTCCTCTACTTCATACTAATTGAGTACACAGGCATGTCAAGTTTGATATGTTGTCAGTATTCAATTACGTAGTACCTCTAGTTGCGTAATCACTCGTCTTTTTTATTTTCCCCTGCAAGGAACTGATTGGTGTAGGGCAAGTTCCAAATAGGATATTGATTTCGGAAGAAAATATAAACTTTTCACTTTTCTTTGGATTGGTAAACATATATAGTGTCATTTTATTTTGATGATATAAATAGTATAACTATAACATATATATTGTCACTTTGAAGCTTGATGTTAAGTTGCTAATTTTGCTTTGAGTTGAAATTAGCACATTCTGGGTGTGCAAAATGACTACTTTGGTGAATTGATATTGGTTGCTGTTGTTAGCTAAGTTGCTCGGGTTCAGGATACGGGATTGGATTTAGAGGTCGGATACTTCATGATCTAAATATTAAGATTGTGGGTTTCCAGGTATGGATACGTGTGTGGGGTTTCGACTAAAAATAGTTGAAATATCTTAAGAGTTAGAAAAAGATGCTAAATTATGAGACATTATGTGAAAAACTTACATGGTGCTTGAGAGTACAAACGTTTCTCTTTTGTTCTCAATTCCACCCTAGCTTTGTGTTGATTTAAGAAATCATTGTATCTGTCTCGGATTTCTTTGTCGATTTTGGTCAAAGTACCCAAAAACGATTAACCAAATCCGCCACGGATCCCATACCCACGCGCCCAACCATGTCGTGTCGACATAGGTGCGGCACCGAAAGTGAAGAGTCCAAGCAACTTAGATTGTTAGCTAGACTTATCCTAGTCGTGGTTATTCATGTCAATAGACTCTGCTGTTTCTACAAGTAGGTTAATTTTTACTTTTTTCCGAGATCTTTCATTGTTTTCATGATTTATAAATGGAAATGCAGGCCGTGAAGCTTTAGTTTTACATAGGTGATAGTGTTGATTGTAGTTTGGGGAGAACTTTGGCTCTTTATTCATTTATTTATTTATTATTATTTCTTTTCCTGTGGTGTGCTTTAGTAGTTTATGAAACAATTGGAACAATCTTTTCTTTTAGGAAAATAGTTGAGGCGGAAACATACGTGCTTAAGATATTTAAACTACCGAAAACTAGCTATCTTCCCAATTTATGCAATGCAGCTAGGTATAATAAGTCATCTGCAAATTCTGTGTGGTCAGTTTGGAACATTTTGATTCCACTATATTTCTATTTTGTATGGGAGTGTGTTACCTACTCATTCTAAACTAAAATAGTTCATGGCACCAGATTGCTACTCTTATGGCATTATCTAGAGAACTAGTGCATTAAATCTATTTGAAAATTTGTCAATTCTCTTCTGCTTCTCTTACTTTTCAACCCAGTCAACCTGAAGTTTTGGATCTCACATTGCAAAGTGCTTTATGCCTCTCTCGGGAAACGCAACAGGTCCTTGGATTCGTGCTGGTTGCGCTTCATGTTTTGGTGTTTAATGTTGAGTTATATTTGGCCATTTTCCGTCATGTTGAGGATTATTTTGGACGATCATTTATGGATCCATTCAACTCTGATAAAATTATTTATTCTTCTCATAGTTTTGTTGCGTGCACAGGCGACCCAGTACAACCGAGGAAATTCTGACAATTGATATCAAACCAGGATGGAAGAAGGGGACTAAGATAACATTTCCAGAGAAAGGAAACGAGCAACGAGGCATAATTCCCTCGGACCTTGTCTTCATAATCGATGAGAAGCCGCATAGTGTCTTCAAGAGAGATGGCAATGATCTCGTTGTCACCCAGAAGATCTCCCTGGTAGAGGCTCTTACTGGATATACTGCTCAAATAACAACGCTCGATGGTCGGAATCTAACCATACCGATTAATTCCATCATTAGTCCAAATTATGAAGAAGTTATCAAAGGAGAAGGTATGCCCATTCCTAAGGAACCTAGCAAAAAAGGGAACTTGCGAGTGAAGTTTAACATCAAGTTCCCCAGCAAGCTTACTTCTGAGCAGAAAGCTGGCATTAAGCGATACTTAACATGATTATTGAACATTAGCACCTAAGGTTTCATTTATCAAATGCTTACTACATAAGCTTGCCTGTCTTTGTTTTTGTTGGTCATGCAAAGANACATTAGCACCTAAGAGTTTTATTTATCAAATGCTACTACATAAGCTTGCCCTCTGTCTTTGCTTTTGTTGGTCATGCAAAGAAATGTACACGCTATTCGTTTGTGGATTTCTTCTGAAACCTTCAGTCCGTTATTTAAGTCTCATTTTTTCTTGCAACTTTTGTGACAGGGTAGTGATTGGAATCTCTTCTTCCTTTTTTTTTTTAATTAATTTTTTATATTCTTTTCCATGCATATTATTAGATCTAACTAATCTAATGCTGTTCCCCTTTATATATCGATCTGTGGATGAAAGGTATTGGACTTCTGGCAACATTTAAACCAAATGCACAAGTACAAGATAAAATCAACTCAACTTTCTTAAGCTTATGCTCGTCAATTCCAAGCAGTGACGGGGGGTTTGGTTGAGTTAGGATTTCATTTGAAATTGGTTGGTTCCCAACATATATAGGTGCACTTTTTTCCTTGCTTAATTAACATATGAGCTCGTATAACTGTAAGTAGGGATGGGATGTTCATGGTTCAGTTGGGTTGGTTTCCCCCTAAGAAAGAACCCAATTCAATTAAGTAGGTATTTTAAACATCGGAATCATACCAAAGTAATTAAGTTTATTTTTTATTCAACAAGAAAACAATTAGATGAATATCAGAGAAAGCTTGTTCACGGCAAAGGTTGAACAAAGAAAAAACCAAGTATTCAATCTAAAGGAGATAATTGTTATTTACTGCTAATTGATTTACAATGGGTGGTTCTAAAAGGGCTATTTATAGGCCACCTTAAGTACTAGAATCTTTTCATTATGGAAATCAAATGTCAAAAAGGTACAAAATCCTTCCAATCAAAATTATAATCAAGAAGGAATTTTTCTAAATTTCAATTGGAAATTCTCTAAGTCATTGGATCTGATTCCTTGCCTGATGTTCTGCATCAATTATCCCCTTCTCTGGAAAAAAAACTCATCCTCGAGTTAACTACCACTTCCGGACATAGTGATAGTGGTTCCTTAGTTGGATGGTAATGTCAGCTACATTAAAAGTTGTAAAAAATTTCCGAGTGTCCGGCAAATTGACAACATAAGCATTGTCATTGATTTTTTTTAGGATGCGATAAGGACCATATTTCTTTAGCGTAAGCATGTAATTTTTGACTTTTTACATATTTTATTTAAATACTTAGTTTAGTATTTAAATTCTTCGTTTCGCAAAAAAGAGAAGCGTTTCATCTTCCTAACCTCGAGAAAAGAACCCTAGACCCTAAAATCAGCCGTTTGATCATCATCTAGACACAAAAACAAAAAAAAGGCTATCATCTCTAACCTTGAGAGAGCAGTCAAAGAAGAACCCCTGAAGATCGGCAACCTAATAGAGATATAGAGGTGCCTTCACATGTTCTTAAGGAGCAAGAGAACATCAGCGTAACCCATCTCCCTGACCCCAAAATAGCAGCAGTCCACCACCCAAATGAAGCTCCGCGATTTCCCACCGTTACTGCTGCTGCCGGATTTCATCACCGACGGCAAGCTACTCTTGAATCTCCTAAGACAAGAAATGAATCCCCCCTCTCATTTTCGGAACCTTCAGCCGCAATACACACCCATATAAACAAACACACACACAAAGAACGCCGGAAATCAGCCACGCACCACATTTTCGAGCTTCGTCGATCCTTTCACTCATTGGCTTCTTCTTTTCTCTCGATACCTACTGCTGCTACTGCCTTAGCACACGTTGGTGGTGCATCAGCAGCTACAGCGTTGAACCAATGGAGTTGAGATCGTAGTCTGAGGTTCCCGGAGAGATTCGCGGTTCTGTCGAGGTCGTCACCGGTTTGAGATTTCTGTCTGGGTGACGGGTCTGTTCATTTTCAACCTCATCGATATATTCTTCTTCTAAATCAATTGGAAGATTTTTGATGTTCTCAAAGTTATAAAAGGTCCATACTCTTCTCCTTCTCTTTGTTATAACTCTATTTTTTTAGTGATTTTAAATGTGATGCTGGCTCATTCTTCCTAGTTTTTCTATCATCTGAATTTTGTTGGAATAGTTAAGATTATTTTAGGCATCTAAATATAAGCTGCTGGATCAATTTTTCGTGAAGTTTAGTCCAATCATTCTTCCAATCTCGCCGTCGCCGAGTGGTCTGTTGCGTTATGGTATTCTTTTGGTGTGAGATTCCGGTAAATATTTTCCTAAGTCTGAGGCAGTTCTTCTCGTTATGGGATTTCATTTCTGGTTCTCTGTATTCTTAACTAACGATTCCTTAAGAATTTGTCTACATCAAGTTGGTATATAAATGTTAGTGTCTCTCAATAGTTCGTATATCACTTGCTTGACGTTCATGGAGTATTTTAGAAATTATGTGTAATAATATCTATCATAGTGTTTCATGTTTGCTAAAGCCAGTTGGAACTTGAAGCCTATTTTCGTAGCAGTGTGCTTCAGAATGCTTTATGCTCGCCCTTAATTAATAAATTATCGCGATTGTGTACACGTTCGCGTGACATAATTTTAATTCTAAACAAAATCGGGGTATGCGTTCGCGCAACTTCGACCAAACTTTCTTAATATTAATAAAGCGTGATTAATTGTGGACACGTACGCGTCACATGATTCTTGACGCGCCAAATAAAATGAGTACACGTACGCGTTACTCGTTTTAGGATAATTTCTTAATTAAAAGAGGTAAATGCACATAGGTTCTTAAATAAGTAATTAGACAATTTAATTGAGCCAAGTATGATTAAAGCAACCGTGCTAAAACCACGGAACCCGGAAATGCCTAACACCTTCTCCCGGGTTAACAGAATTCCTTACCCAGATTTCTGTGTTCGCAGATCATAAATAAGAGTCAACTTCCTCGATTCAGGATTTTAAACCGGTGACTTGGGACACCATAAATTATCCCAAGTGACGACTCTGAATTTGAATAAATAATCCCGTTTCGATTATTGTCACTTTAATTAGAAAAACTTCCTTATACCCCTTTCGACGTAGAAAAAGGAGGTGCGACAATAAGTACCAATTGAAAACCTTTTCTTTCACAAAAATGCCAAAACATCATTTCCTTCTTCAAGGTCTGGTACTAGATAGTTTTATGAGTAACCGCCTTGTACTTAACATTAGTTTCTTCAAGTTTTTACTTCTGCTTGAATATCCTGCACTTCACTTGTTTGACCATGTGAGTTGCAGTTATGCTCGATCCTGGAACCTGTAGAAGCTTAAGCTAGTCTAAGACATGTCATGGACATTGGAGGAGATCAAAGAATTTCTTGCTAATCACGTGCTATCATCGTATTATAATAATTATTCCGACGTCAGGGCAAACGGGACAATGGAAAATAGTGACTTCCCCGTTGCACTATGAACATCACTACTGTAGGCAAAAATCAGCTTGGGATAATGCAAAATCCCATTGTTTAAACTTGTCTCCATATATACTGCGAATCAAATTGCCCAAAGTTCGATTAAGAACTTTGGTCTGGCCATCCATCTTTGAGTGAGCAGTACTGCTAGTCTTCATTAATGTATCAAATATTTTTCATAGGAAAATCCATAAATAATTTATTAATCGAGTATCCACATCAGAAATGATTAGCTTAGGAATTTGATGCAGGCGAACAATCTCTTTAAATAATAGCCTAACATCACTAGAAGCATCTATGGTCTTCCTACCAGGATTAAAATGGGATATTTTCGAGAAACGATCTACCATAATAAAAATAAAATCCTTACCTCGTTATGTCCGCGGTAATTCAAGTACAAAGTCCAGAATTAAATCCTTCCGAACATGCTCATGGATTAGTAAAGGAATGAAAAGGCGAGTATTTTGAGTTTGACCTTTTGCAGTTTGACATGTATAATATCTTTTCACCAATTTACTGACATGTCACCTTTCTTGTACTGCATCAATTATCTTGTCTCTCCAAAGGTGTCTGTCTATCTATGCATCCGACATGTAAATCTCTAATAACTTACTCATGCAAGGAGATGAGAGGAAGACAACTTTTCCAGCTTGCGTAAGCTGACATTTTCCCTAGATTCCTCCAAGATCCTTTTAATTCATTCTCGTAATCATCTTTCAAAAAATCAAAGCCAACGATTTCAAACATCAATGCCACTCGTCGACAACTTTGTTATATACTCCGGACTAGTGTCAAAATCGATAAGGAAACTTCCCCACAAAAGTGATCCATCTAGCATGCATCATGCATGTCTTGACCAATTGCCAATGTATTCTAAAGCTTGATGATCATTAGAGAGAACAAACTCTTTACCCGTAATAAGCAGACCACTTCGGTCGCGCGTCACTAAAATTCTTTTTGAAAAAATCTAGTGTTGCTTTTCTTGTGATAACACTACTACAATGCCTACTTCACTTGCATCACACCCCATTTCGGAAACTTTGTGAAAACTTGGCAAAGCTAAGATTAGAGCAGTGCAAAGCTAAGATTAGAGCAGTAGTCACATTTTCCTTGATAATATAAAACATCTGTCTGCATCTTCATTCCACTGAAATTTTCCTTTCTTCAAGAGATCGGTAATGGGAGCCACGATCTTACTGAAATAGTGAATAAATCGACGGTAGAACGTTGCTAACCCGTGAAAACTATGCAGTTCGCTTACTATTTTGGGTACAAGCCACTCCTTAATAGCACACACTCGAATACTATCAACACTGATCATGAACCCCAAGAACAATAAATATGAGGTCATAAAGCTGCACTTCTTGAGGTTAGTATAAAGCTTGTTCGTCTGTAAGATCATTAATGCCTCCCTTAATTACAAAATATGATCTTCTCGAGTTTAAATAAATCAAGATATCATCAAGGTATACTACAATAAACTTCCTAATAAATAGCTATAGGATATATGGTTCACAAGTCACCTAAAAGTACTTGGGCCGTTAGTTAAGCCAAAAAGCATGACTAGCCACTCATACAATCCATCACCTGTCTTGAAAATTGTCTCTCATTCATCTCCTCGTTAAATCTTGACTCATGCTCTCTCATATATGCCCTTGCTTTAATAACTCTTCAACTTGGCCTCTTAAAATCTGGTTCTCATTTGGACTCGTTCAGTAGTATGGTAGATTTGATAAACTTTCCTTGGGATCAATATGGTGCTAGATATCTCCAGGAATAATG